GTCGTCCCTATCCAGGACATCCCCTCTCAGACTATTGCAGCTCAAGCCGAAGCTCTGGAACTTCCTTTGTGCCTAGTAGCTGTGGGACTGGGAGACGAGTACACGGCTGCACTGAGGAACGCACTCCGCGATATTCCGGAGCAAATGAAGCGAACGAAGAAGTCCAGCAAGAGCCCCGAGCAGAACGGTACGACTCCGAGCGTTTCTGCCCTTGTATTTGGCGACCTTCACCTGGACGATATCTCGATCCAGCAGTGCACGCCTACAGTCAAGAAAACAGTACTTCAGTATTAGTTTATGCGTCAACAATTGTGCAATATTTCTCTTTAACAATAACAACACCTCATCGTGAGGATTGGCCCCACAGTCAATGGGATGGGCGTGTCATCTCAACAGATACAGGAAGCTTGCTTGGCATCGTTCGAGAGCCGACGGCTCGTTGCCCTCCGGGAGCCTTTACGGCAGTTCCAGAATGTAGAGTGGCGAGTGAGGCTTGGCTTCCTCTGTATGGCACTGCGTAAAGTGACTAGAGTGTTGCTTGGAGGTCGTTGCTGCGCCTGAGCTTGAGGCGGCCTTAGTTGCTAGAAGTTGAGGGTACAGTACAACTTCAACCTACAGTCATGTGACGTAAATTGTGCAGATTCCCCTCAGCCCGATGACAAAGATGTCCGCCGGAAACGGTAGGTGGACGTCAGTGTCCACGTCGGTGAAGAACAAAAAGAGGCTCGAGCAGATGTGGACGAACTTCTCCTATCCAGACAAATCTAACGAACGAATCAGCTCCTCGCCAGACCACTCATCAAACCATCCAAACTAATGATTTGATGTGCATCAATTCGCAGCGCCCTCACTTCAAAGTCTCCACTTCACTTCCGATTCCGCGAGCTCTCAAGCACGAGCCGCTCCCAATAAAGCAACCAACGGGCATCATGGCGTGGCGCGACCTCCGAATCATCCAGCGTCTGGGGCTGCGTGTGCCGCTGTTCCAAGCTCCGATGGCCGGCGCGCAAGCCAGCGACCTCGCCATTGCCGTGGCCCGTGGCGGAGGTCTCGGCGCCATTCCTTGCGCTCTGCTGTCCCCGGACGCAGTGCGCGAGCACGTGCAGCGCTTCCGAGCCGCGACGACGGCGCCGATCAACCTCAACTTCTTCTGCCACTCGCTGCCTCCTGCCAACGCTAAGGCGGACAAGCAGTGGCAAGATATCCTCGCTCCATACTACGAAGAGTACGGCGTGAACCTCGCTCACTTGACAGCGCAGGGGGCGCAACGGATGCCGTTCGACGAAGGGAGTCTCGAGCTGGTGCGGGAGCTCCAGCCTGAAGTCGTGAGCTTCCACTTCGGCCTGCCGGCTCCTCACATGCTGCAAGGCGTCAAGGACACTGGCGCCTTCGTGATCTCGTCCGCCACCACTGTGCGCGAAGCTGTATGGCTCGAAGAGCGAGGCTGCGACGCTATCATTGCTCAGGGGGTGGAGGCAGGAGGCCATCGAGCTGTCTTCCTACCCAGAGAGGGTAACAAGCCTAGCTCCTCTGGTGAGCAGTACCGCAACAGCTCCATGGATTTCCCACGACAGATTGGGACGATGTCGTTGGTCCCGCAGATCGTCGACGCAGTGAAGCTCCCGGTGATTGCAACGGGTGGAATCGGCGACGCTCGAGGGGTTCTAGCTGCAAGTGCACTTGGTGCAACCGCAGTGCAAATGGGTACCGTCTTCCTGCTCGCCGACGAGACCAAGACGTCGGCTTTGCATCGACAAATGTTGAAGCGGGCGGCGACTGCAACGGGGGAGGAAGCTCTGGAGACGGCGATCACCAACATTTTCTCGGGCCGACCAGCTCGAGGATTCGTGACGCGTGTGATGCGGGAGCTGTGCTGCAGCGCCAGAGTTCCCCACGGCTGGAGCACCACTCGCTGCGCTCAAGAAGGCTGCGGAGGTAAATGGAGACACGGCCTTCTCGTCCATGTGGTCGGGTCAGTCACCGGGCTTTGCGAAGGAGAAATCTGCCAAGAACATTGTGCGCTCATTTTCAAACCTTTTCCGTGAACACGTTTGGGGCAAAAGGCAACGTCCTTAGATCACCGAAGGCATGCCTCGCAGCGGGTTCGCAGTAAATCCGTGCGAGGTAGCCCCCGATGAAATGGCGAGGTGGACTTGGATGGTCGCCTTGATGGGTGCTTGGCTGGAGTTGGTTGTTGGGTGTGTGATGATGCATACTTGAGTGGCTTGGTCGCGATGGTCGCCGCATGCCCTTGAACGAGCGAGCTTCGTGACAGCTCCGTTGTCCGCGGCAGCTTGGCGCCTCACCCCAGGTTGAAGAAGAGGGGCGAAGGTGGGGAGGGCGCCGGAGCTGTCGAGGCCATCAGCTACTTGTTGATGCTGCGGTTGATGGGCTGCTTGGACTGCCGGAGCTGCTGTTGGAGGTGCTTGGGCGCCGTGATCCACGCCGACGCCGATGCCGCCGTCCGCACGATGGGGCGTAATGGCTGCAGTGGCGGTAGAGTCGCCTGCGCATGGGGTGACTGGCTGCTTGAAATGCATGGGCTCCTTGAAATGCATAGCCTGCTCGGGCTGCTGGGCGTCCGCGCCAGTGCCGATGCCACCACCGCACGGTGGGGGCGCAATGGCAGCCGACGGCGGAGCCAGCCGTGGGTGGATGCTTGGTGTGCTGGGGCTGCTGGTGCTGCTGGGGCCGCTTGGGCAGGGTGGACGGTGGTGCTTCGACGGCTTGGAGGGCTTGGGCTGCACGGGGAACTTGGGCCGGGGCTAGTTCTGGCACCACGCGCTGTGGGGGCCTGCAATGTCGGCGCAAGGACGGATGCTTCATGGGGCTTGATGGGTGCGGGCTGAAGGTGGGCTGCTTGGGGTGTTGGGTGGGCTTGTGCCGGACTGGGCTGGACTTGGTTGCTGCTGCTGAGCTTAGGGCCGCGATGCTGAGGCCACCGACAGCATGGTGAAGTCGCGGGGCGGAAGTGCTGGAAGACACAGAGGCTGCTAGCGCGCCATGGTAGGGGGGGGGGGGGGGCGGGCCGATCTTAATGTCGGCCAGCTAGCTGAGGAACGCCGCCCCCTAAAACTAAAACTAAGCTGCCTACTGCTCGCCAGGCAGGCCTAGTGCAAAGCCGTGGACTGTCGTCGGGCTTGAAAACGTGGCTCACTTCATCTCTCGAAAAATGGGTTTTCCACCGCTGCGCTTGTACAAAACACCTAATTATTCAGGAGTTCGACGCATTGGTGGCGGCAACCTGTGCGGGGGAGACTCGCAGCTCGCTGTAACTTAGCGCTGGGAACTCGACACGATAACTGCACTTCAATATCAACAACTTGTTGGAACAATACATGTACACGTCGACGCGCGATAATTACGTGACCACGATATTGGTGATCACCCTTTCAGGAACCATGGTGTGCTGCTGGGCTGCGAAGGGGGAGGATCGCCACCGCTGCCATGCTGCAAGGAAGCACCAACGACTACACGTGAACTTGACGAACCCTCTAGCTGTCTGTGAGCGGCGGTGAGCCCTCGTTTAATGTGCTTCAGGAAGGGCTCTCCATCGTGAGCATCCGAGTTTCTTGGGCGCTTGCTAGGCTTTCGTGGCCCGCTGGATTTGCTACGCTCACGAGGCCGCTCCGGGTACCAACGTCCATACACAAATCCAATGAGGCCAGCTGACTCGATTAGGCCTAACCCTATGCTGGTCTTTTCGACCAGTCGTTGCTCCTAACTGAGCTAAAAAGCGTATGGTTTTTAACCAATCAAAGGCGTTTTGGTTCGTGTCTGAGCGTCGCGGCGACGCGACGCCGTCGCATAGTGAGTCGCTCAGTGAGCGATGCCCTCTTTTCTCATGTGCTCCAACTGCAGAGATCTCGAGCGCAACCTGCTAGAAGAGCGCCACCACCGCCAGACGGCTGAGTATGCTCGTGATGCCGAGCTGCAGATGCGCGAGCGAGCGGACGATACTATCAAAGAGCTACGCAAGGCGATCAAGGAGCAGCGCAAGAACCTCGACGAGCAGCGCGAGACGATCATGGAGCAGCGCATTACCTTCGGCAAGCAGCTCGAGACGATCAAGCAACTGCATGAGACGAACAAAGAGCTGCGCGATGCCATGAAAAAAGAGATCGAGGCCAACGAAGACCACCGCAAGACGATTGAGCACCAACAAGACCTTATCGACAAAGGGATCAAGTCCAATGAGATCCAGCAACGCATGATTCAGGACCTGCAACGCGAATTGCCGGCTCTTCGGCACCAGCTTAGACAGCAGCAAGTACAGAACCATAGTGATATGGACAATCTGCGTCTCGAGTTTAGAGCACAACGAGAAAAGGATCGTGCATTGGTCGAGTCCAATCTTCGGGCATTGAAGCGATATCACAACGAGACCGCGCGATGCCGACCAGAACTGAAGCTACTCGCGGTCTCTTCAAATCGACGGACAGCCTTGACGATAAACGAGGGATCCATTGGAGGAAAAATGCTAGAACGCGTTCGTGCGTTCAATGAAAACAGACGCGCTGATGCGAGAGCTGAAGAAGATAAGCGCGTGAAGACGGAGATCACATTCCACCACTCGAAGGAGAAAAATTTGAAGAGGACGATCTCACGCGGCGAGCGCACGCGCGAAATATCGGTGAAAGCGTCGGACACGGTCGTCGTCCCCGGTGTGGTGGACGAAGCTCGTCTAAAAATCGACAGCGCGCTCGATGCAGCGGGGCTGGTCAGTACATCTGTTCGTCAAGATATTTTCATTGAACTAATTATCTTCTTTGCCTAGGACAGCGTGACGAAGTCGCGATTCGATATCTCCGGCGCGGCATCAAGTACGACAAGCACGAAGGCGTTGACGAAATCGTGTTTGATAGCCTCGACGAAGTCGTCGCCAGTCACAGAGCGTCGTCGAGTGACAAGTACTGCAAAGCGTCGACGTACTTGCTCTTGAATGACGTGCTGGTGACCCCTGTGTGGCAGTTCGAAGTGGTATAACCAATCAAAGTTCACTTCTCGTGAGAGCAAAAACATGAGATGCTCGCGATGCAGCAGTAGTAGAGCACTGGTACACACCTCACCTCGGGCACCTCCTTGGTGTCCGGGATCAACTGCAACCTCCTGTCTCTTGCAGGAGCAATCTGACCCCTGCTAAGTTCAGAAGAAGTGTCGGCATCCATATATTCAGCACAATAAGGAAATACTAGCACATGTAGTACTTTGGACCAACCTCGTGCTCAACCAGCACCTCCATTTGCTTATGAGGTCTGTCCAGATACTAAGCTTAACGGGAGAATCAGGGTGGGCTTCTCAACGGTCAAGTCTAGCACGACGCTAGCTTCGTCCTCGCGCAGTAGCAGCTGGGTGGCATTCATCAGCGCGTGACTCACCATCGCGCCAAGTACGCCTTCAAGCACAAAGTCCACCAGCTCCAAGACATGTTGATGGTAGTACACCACGGATCGGCTCGAATGCCAGGCGCAGAGAGGTCTGGTCGCTCGTCTTTGGGTAGCTCACAAACGCGAACGTCAGCTGCGCCTCTGGTTCCATCCCGGAGGCAACGCGACGTCGAGTTTCCTCCTCGTCCAGACCCAGCAACGGCGAATACAGCGGATGCTTCGACGTGCTCAAGTCCGTGCCCACGAAGTCCCCCACATGACCAGTAACCTCGAACGTGTCCTCGTCAGCAGAAATTTTGCCTTCCACATCGTAGCTCGTGTAATTGACACCGGCATTGCTGATGTCGAGACGCGCAAGCTGGCGATGAAGCTGGTCCTTGTTAAACGTCAGACTGAATTGTACCAGCGACGCGCGTATTATAACGAGCGGCTTTCCTCTAGAGCGCAGACTGGTTAACGCAGCAGCCTCCATCTCATGGTCACCACCGGGGGGGTGACTCCTTTGTAGATTCCTTCTCTGCTGGCAAACTTCGCGGCGGTGTGGCATCTTCAGACGGGAGATCATAGTCATGAGACTGAATTGCAGATGCGTACGCGGGTATGATGCGGTAGAACAGCGCCACAGACGACGGGTTCCTTTGCAGATGCAGCACGTTCAACTGCACGTCTGCCTCCAGTTGCGATGCCTGGCCACTTTCTTGTACTCTCGGTACTCCATTATCCTGAGAAAACGCCGTGACGTCGATAGCGATCAGGTGTGGAGTCTCGCCTGCGTCGTCTTCACCGGTAGAAATGAGTTTGTAGTAGCGAGACTCGGGCGAATACAGTTTATCTTCCATCACAAGGGCCTTCAATCGTGCGTGGAAGTCCTGGAGGGCTGAGTACGCTTCCATCGAGAAGGACGTTTGCGAGGCCCGCAGGATAAATGCGTCCTTAGCAGCCGACTCCCGCAAGTTGAGCTCCACACATCCAAGCGACAGCTCCATCTCCAGCAGGAATTTCTTCTCGGATGTTATTAACGGGAACGACAGTGGCATTGCTTGTACCTTCATCAATCGTGCTTTCGGAATCCGTCGCACTCTCTTCGTCGCCACTCTCATGATCTTGATCCTCGAAGTAGAACAGGAGCCTACCGTTATCCCGGGCAATGGTCGCGGCTTGTGCAACTATGGACGAGTGGATCTGGCCCAGCGCCACAAGCTGCTCCTCCACTAGGCATATCGAGATCTTGGGAACGGCAGCGTAGATGCCCAGTTGCGGCAGCGGCCTTGCCTCCACGTCTTTCCGTCCAGTACGTGAAGAAAGTCATGAGCTAGCTGCGTGTGAAGTGAAAACTCAATCGACAGCTCCTTCACAATCTTGTTGACGCCGCGGAGTTCTTCGTCAGACCAGTCCACCAACTGCTCCTGCCGTCCGAGCAACACGTGAATCTGGGTCACGTGTAGCCGCCAATGCAGTCGACGGGGATCTTCTCCTGTCGTTTCCAGCCGTGTCGATAGCCGTAACCTTTATCAACCGTCATCCGGACAGGCTCCCTGCGGACGCGGACCTTCAGCGTGGCTTCCACGTCATCGTCACCCTGCCGTTGGGTCTGTAGCACCGCCCGACGACTCACGTCGATACTGACGCAGCACGTACCCGGGCCTTCCCACGGCGATAGCGACGATGCCGGGCTACAGAACGAATGGAACCGAAAATCGTGTGCGAGCCCGTTAAAGAGGTCGAAGTGCTGCACTTGGAAGCTCGCGTCCCCTCGTTTTCTGGCTGAATGTTCACAGCCAGCGAGCCATTGAACATTACAGTCACGAACAAACTCTCGTGTGCGTTGGATTGAAACAGCCATTTGTCAGCTGAAACTGCAATCGGCACTTCGTGTGCGTTGCTAGCCTTCTCCACAGCGTTATTGTAAGCCTCGCGTAGATTTTCCCAGCCCTCGGCAGACAATACGTGCTCCTCCGCTGCTTCACTTGACGCGGGAGCAGATTCACTTTCGCCGACGACGAAATACGAGTACCACGAGCCACCTCCGCCATGAGTCGCCTGTGTTTTAGCGTGTTCTTTGGCCGAAGCTTCCACTTCCTCCTTCGCACGCTTCTCGGCGGCTTCGGCAACGTCGCGTAACAGCAGCACCACATCCAGCGGGTAGATTTCTTCATATCGCTGCTTGAACTTGCCCTGCCTCGTCGAGGGGTCCAATGGTGAATCGTTGCGCAGCTCCGTCCTGAAAGCCTCGACGTACAATTTTTGCTCCAGCAGCGCCTTCTGTACTGACGACCAGCGCATTTGGCGGTGATGTGGGCGTGGGGGATCAGATGCACGTCCCGCAGCGTCACCTGCAGGTTGGCCACGATGCGGGCCGTGAGTCTCGAGACGAAGGTGCCCTCGTCCTCCTCGGGCTTCTGCTGCTCGTGCTGCTCCTGACCCGGGCCAACGCGCGCGGCGAAGCGGCGGTGCTGGCGCAGCAGCTCCAGCTGATTCTTCTCGGCCGCGCTGCGCGGCTCCGTGTTGGGCACCACGAGCGCCAACACGCCCTCGAGAGTGATGGCCATGCTGGCGCTGCCCAACTGGTTCCAGGGCAGGCGCACCAGCACGCGGCCCACGCTGCCGCTGGTCACGGCTACGGGCAGCTGCAGCTCGGCCAGCGAATGCGGCTTTAGTGACAGGTCGCGCAGCTCCAGCTCGCCACTCCACAGCCCCACGACCAGCGAGTCGCTGCGCAGGCCGGCCACATACTTGCCCAGCTGCGCCTCCAGGATCGACAAGATGATGGCCTTGGCCATGGCTGCGGGCGGCATCGATAGCGGCGGCAAGGGTGTACAGGATCCGCGTAATCAGATTGTAGCCATGTTCCGTGAAAATAGGTGCGAGCGAAATAGTGGTTTAACATCAGCACGTCGTACGAGACCTTGACTAGAGCGGTCTGCTCGGTCGTGAAGCGAGGCAAACGCTCACCGACTCGCTCGCGCATGACGGGCGGGTAGTCGCCGGAGGTGAGGGGCAGCAGCTACCAGCCAAACTTGAAGTTCATCGCGCGCTCCGCAGCTTCTGCATCTTCAATGTTGTTCTCCCGAAGAGGGTAGAACTGATTGGCATTGAGTACGATACCCATGCGCTTTAGGCTGGACAACACCACTCGATTGAGATCCCTGAACCGTTGCACGGAGTACGCGTGTGACAGGAGCACATTGTGCGCCACCTCGTAGACCAGCGTGGGCGAGTCGTAGAATCCTGGCGGGTGCAGACCCGTGTTGTAGCCGTACACGACGAAGGAAGTGGCTCGTTGAAGGTGGTCCAGAAGTCGACCTTGTCACCGAATTCGTTGTACGTCGAGTGCTCCACGAAGTGGTCGATGATCTCCGGGTTGAGCCATCCCTGAGGGGTGAGCTTGTTGTGCAGCTTCGTGGGCAGGTCCCAGTGGCAAATGGTAAAAATCGGAGAGATGCCGCTCTCAACCAACCTGTCAAGCAACGCGTGGTAGAAGACGAGACCGGGGGCGTGGGCGCATGCGTCGCGCTTCCGGGTCCCAGTTCATTGTGCGCGACCACGAGGCGGAGAAGCGGAAGGACTGGAGTCCCTTCTCCCCCATGAGCTTGATGTCGTCCGCATAGTGGTGGTAGAAGTCGTCGACGTTGGCGCACTCGAAGCCAGGCTGTTCACGACAAAAGTCGTCCCAAATGCTCGGAGTGCGGCCGTCCTCGTTCCACGCGCCCTCCACCTGGTACGACGCGGTGGCCGACCCGAAGAGGAAATCAGCAGGGAAGCAGCGAGGCTCGGTGGCCGCTGCAGGGGAAGAGAGCAGGGTGATGGTCGCCGCCGCCGCGAGTCCGAGACGGTGCAGCAGCCACATCACTTGAGCTGTTAGTTCGAGGCGGCAACTTCACGAATGAGGCAGGAGCGGATTCGCAAGATCTCGACGAAAGCGTTGGCGCTACTGTAGGGCTGTTTCGCGCAGTGCTCGAAAGTGCACGAAAGTACTTCGGCGCCATTGCTGCCTTACCGGTACTGTGTGCTTGTGGCACATGATATGTCGAACAACATACTACCTTACCCGGGCGACAAGCGTCCCGGGGGAGGTCGCAGTTCGTAAGTGTAAGGTTCTGGTTGTGCTTGTTGTGTTGCGAGTAAAATGGAAACTGAATTGATGTCTTTGTCTGTTTGCTGCTATCCATCTACCCGAGGGCGCCCTCATGGCGCTCGGTCCTAAACATGAAGTGGTTGGCTGAGGCGTGCCGGAGCAGGAGCTTGCGCAACCGGTGAGTATGCAGACGACGACTTGGGCTCTCTGCGTGCGGACTCAACTGATGATGTGGTTGTGTTCTGCTCTTGCACGTGCAGATCATTACACTCCCCCCGACTTGAGCGAGTCGCGGCACCTTGAACGTTGAAGTCGCCGAAGTTGAAGTTGGTAGTACCGTAGACCCCGATGTAAGGAACACTACCGTCAAAACGCTGTTCAAGAGAATTCCACTAGGCCCGTGCCACTCGATTGCGTTGGCGAAGATCTTTTAGCAGCGCTTCCCAGTGGCTGACGTGTTTGATGTCGCGCTCGCGTTCCCACGTGTTCTCATGGCGAGGGAGCCCGTGCCACTTGACCAAGTACTCAGGTTGGCGGTTGAAGATGCGCTTCTTGATCAGAGCTTCGACAACGTGTAGTGGCTCGTCATCGTCGTCGAAAATCACGGGAGTCGACTTCGGGATCACACGGCCGACGAAGCGATCAGGGTTGCTGTTGTATACCTTGAGCTTGTCGATGTTGAAGCGTGGGCTGATGTGATTCAAGTTGGCCGGTAGATCCAGCAGCGCGACGTTGCCGTGAAGTTCCAGGATCGGGTACGGACCGATGAAGCGCGGGATGAACTTCCGTGAGCGAAGCGTCGTTTCCGCGGTGGCGTGCGAGATGTTCAGGTCCTGCGTCGACAGCAAGGCTAGATCACTGACCTTGAATGGGTTTGCTGCACGACGCCGGTCGTAGAACTTCTTTTGAGCCTCTTGCGCATCCAACAGATTCTTCCGAGCACGTTCGATCACCTCTTGACGATGCTGAACAAATCGAGACGCGTACTCCACACGAGACCTCGCCACCGGCTGATCGCTCTCCATACTACCCAATGGGTTCTTAGGGTGACGACCGGTGTCGCCGAAGAAGGGCGACAGCTTCGACGAGCTGGACACCAGTGTTGCGTGTGCATACTCAATCATGGGCAGGTGCTCATTCCAGTCGTTGCCATGGTACGAAACAGAGCATCGCAACGTGTCCTCGAGAGTCCGATTCTGACGCTCAGTTTGGCCATCGGCCTGCGCTCGGTGGGCAGTCGTAATCGCTGTCTTGATCTTCACCAGCTGTACCAGTGCTTTCCAGAACTTCGACGTGAACTTCGGGTCCCGGTCGGAGATGATGGTCGATGGGATACCATAGCACCGGATGACGTTGTTGAAGAACAGCTTGGCAATGTCTTCCGCAGTCGCCGTGGTGTGCGTTGGGATGTAGACTGGACGCTTTGACAGCTTGTCCACCACGACCATGATCGCATCAAAGCCGTCGGATACAGGCAAATGCGTGATGAAGTCAGTCGAGACAACATCCTAACACGCAGCGGGCAACGGGATCGGCTGAAGCTTTCCTGCTCTTCGTCCGGTGCTTGACTTGTACCTCATGCATGACTCACAACTCTGAACGTAGGCTTTGATGTCCAGATCCATGCTCGGCCAGAAGTACCACTGTGCCGCAGCAAGCTGAGTGCGACGGATGCCTGGGTGCGCCATGATCGCCGTATCATGCGCGTTGTGAATGACATCGAGCCGAAGTTTCCGGTTGTTTGGCACACAGAGGCGGCGTAGGCTGTCGTTGCTCTTCAAATAGATCAACCCGCGAATGACTTCGTACTCTTCCGACGAGCGTCTGGACTTCCACAGTGGCTTGAAGACTGGATCTCTGCCGTATGCCTTCTGAAACGCCCGCTTCGTTTGGTTATCCAGCTGAAGTGAGCTGATCACCGTGCTGTCCTCCATTGACGCTGCGTTCAACCTCATGCGCCACTGTGCTGTGCCAACTCCGAGTGCCTTTGTGGCTGGCTGTTTGACGGCCAGCATCACAGCTTGATCCCGGGACGGTATGCTTTGGAGCTTCGCCGTAGCCATGGTACGTCGTGAGACCACGTCTCGAATGTTCGTGCATGGGGTAGACGTCAAACACGCCGTACACACTACAACCGGCCCGGTCTTGGACTCACAATCCTCCTGCTCCTCCCCCGGCCTCGATGAAGCATCAGGGGGGCGCGACAACGCGTCCGAAACGACATTCAAAGCTCCTGGATGATGATGCAGAGTGAACTGGAAGGACGCAAAGAAGTCGAGCCAGCGGGCCAGGCGACCCGACAGGCGTGGATGCTGCAAAAACCACTTGCACGCCGAATTGTCCGTGTACACTTCAAACGAGACTCCATGGAGGTAATGACGCCAACGTGTAAGCGCCTGCTTGATCGCAAAGAGCTCCTTCTCGTGAACAGGCCAGTTCAGCTCGTGAGGTCCCAGCTTCTTGCTGAAGAAAGCCACGGGGAGATCGTTGCCATCATGCATCTGAGAGAGCACTCCACCAATGCACGCATGACTGGCATCCGTTGTCACGATGAATGTTTTTTCAAAGTCCGGCAGACGAAGCACCGGAGCGTGCTGGAGCGCGAGCTTAATGGCATTGAAAGCTTGGCGCTGGTGTTCGTTCCATACCCAAGCGACATCCTTCTTGGCCAGAGAGCTCAGGGGCAGTACCAACGTCGCAAACTGGTGGATGAAGCGACGATAGTACCCGGCGAGGCCCAAGAAGCGTTGGAGGTCCTTGATGTTGCATGGCTCGGTCCACTCTGCGATGGCTCGAGTCTTGCGAGCGTCCACGTGCAACCCATCAGCAGAGATGGTGTGGCCAAGGAAGTCCACCGAGGCTTGTCCGAAGTCGCACTTGTCAGGACGGGCGTAAAGCTTGTTAGCGCGCAGGACTTCGCAGACTTGTCGTAAGTGTTCAACGTGGTCAGCCATCGATCGCGAGAAGATGCAGATGTCGTCAAGGTAAACGACCACGAACAGTAGATGACTCAGCAGCTTGCGCATCAGGCGTGTCCACGTGCATGGCATGCCGGCCAGACCCATGGGCGCCACGTTCCAATGATATATCTCATGGTTCGTCCTGAATGCCGTGTACTGTTTTGACGTCGGAGACATGCGCATTTGGTGGTATCCACTCGCGAGGTCGAGAATAGAGAATACCACTGCGCCCACCATGCGATCGAAGAGTTGTTCGATGTGCGGTAGCGGGATCTTAGCCACATCCGAGGCGGCATTCACCAAGCGATAGTCGATGACCCATCGAATCGGCATGTGCGGGTTGTTCGAGTGCAACCACTCCAAGCGGGATGGGAACTTGCCCGTCGCGGGATCCTTTTTCGGCACGCCGAAGATGTTCGATACCCAGGGAGAGTCCGACACTTCGACCCAGTTCTTCTTCAGCAGCTCTGCCACAAAGATGTCCAATACTTCCTGCTCAACCTTCGAGAGGCGGAAGGGAGCTCGGTTGCTTGGCGTCACCCCTGGTTTCAAGACCACTTCGTGCTCGATGGAGCGGCTTGGTGGTAATCCAGGTGGCAGCTCTGCTGGAAAGACATCTGCGAACTCTTCAAGAACCGCTTGAAGCTGCAATGGCACGGACTTCACCTTGAGCGACGTCTTCACCGTGACATGATACAGTTCGACGTACTCGTCAGCCTTCACCTTCTTCTCGGACTCCGCAGCCGCAAGAACACACAGCGGCGACGCGCCTGTACCATCGTCACCGTCGTCAAAGATGCGTGGTAAGGTCTGGTGTCCCAGCGCTGCTAGTGAGCTCGGTCCCAACGGCATACTGAAGTAGCCTGCCTGCATATGGTCATCGAGCTGCTGCCGCAGGTTCGGGGGAAGCGGGTGCTGAAGAAATTCCGGTTTCACTTCCACTGAAGCCACCGTCGGTCCCGCCACCTCAAGACTGCTGTTCACGGAACCGAAGTCATGTACTACACGCTGGTTGGGGAAGGGCATCACTCCGGTTTGCCAATTGATGATCGGGTTGAACTGCACTAACCACAGGTGACCGAGAATCACGTCTTGGTTTGAAGATACCTCACATCAATGAGAGAAACATCGTTGAAGACTCTGCCATCAAAGCAGACAGTCTCCAAACATTGCTGTGCGGTACGCGCCGGGGTTGTCGTGCCATCAAAGCGCTCGGCCGTGGCCTTGGTGGTGCTGCGCGAGACCCGGACGCACAATGTTGCGCTCTGCACCACTGTCGATCAAGACTCGCACTGCCTGGCCGCTCATCGCTCCCTCGAACCTCAACAGTTCACGATTGGGCGACAACTTCGCGTCGAGAGACACCATGTTCAGCTGCAAACTGTCGATGACCTCGACGTGGTCGTCGCGGTTGTCTGCGTAGGCGTCGTCATCGTCGTCGTCTTCAACAATGCGGCGAAACGAGCCCTCGTTTGCGCGGAAAGAACCGCGCCCTTGTGGAGGACGAGA